TCCAACTACATTACCCACAGAATTCCTAAATATGTAACAATTGGCTCTCACTAGTAAGAACTAGGTCTAAGGTGCAATTGGATGTATGTATTATTTAGCCAGTATAAATAACCTCTTAGAAAATTTGACATTGAATGACTTTGGGGAGAGCTTATTCTTGCCATTACCTTTTCCTTAGTGTCTCTCCTCCTACTATTTAATCAGAACATGTTCTCCTGGCCTGAACTGCTCTGGGCCAGAGGACATTGTTACCATTTTCAACAATTGGCCAGAGGTGCATTCTTACGATTCTGACCCATATCATTAAAAGTGTGTCCCATCCAGGCCTCAAGCTCATCTTTAGATACTAGACCTTAAGAAGGGACTTAAAAACTGTGTGCCCTGTTCTTTCCTTCATCCTCTTTATGTAGCTGTAGCTTTTAAAAGAATGCAAACTATATATGGAAAGAGATGCAGATACAGAGCTCCTTACCTTTGGGCCAGTAGTTTTCTTTACCTTATGATACATCTTATGATACATCTCAAAGTCTGTTTCCTCAATGTTCTTATCTTTGTTCATTCTTATCATACATACTTGTAAGGATTAAATGATAATACCTTAATAAAACCTAATAGCATTAATATTGTTGCTGGCATCTGTTGCACTAGTACTTGGGGCCTGTGTCCCAAGTGTCTGTGACACTCAAAGGCCCTAGCATGATGGCTGGCAATGGGGAAGGTCCCATGAATAGCAAAACAGCCATAGTTTTCAAAAGCTCATCTCTCCAGTTTCAAGTTAGTAAAAACATATAGAGCCTCAGGTAAGAGCAAACTAAGCATAATGGTGTTATATGGGGAGTTTCTTTTCTATAACATAGGAGAGGGTAGGGGTGGAGAGAAAGGGAGAGCAGGAGAGAGAGGGAGGGAAAGAGAGAGAGTATGAGAACACGGGGAGAAGAGGAAAGAGTGAGAGCATATACATATATATATAAATATGATAATACATATATTATTAGCGCACACACTGGAGTGTTTTGTTTTGTTTTGCTGTCCCAGCATGTTTCCTACTGAATGACTGTTGGACAACAACCACAATGCATATATCTATGAGCTAACATTTCAGTAACCTAGTGACATTGAGAAATGTTACCTTTCTGTTAAATTTTACCAGGAAACTGCATGTCATTGTTGACCTGGTAAAAGTTTCTACTTCATTATGGCATACAAGCAAAGCTTGTATAGCCTTCAGGAGAGCAGATGGCCTTATATCTTGAGGTTTATGTTTGATTTGAATCCAGTTTGGGAGAGACATAGCTTAAAACACTGACATAGTTTTTGGTCACTTTGGGTTCTTATAGAAGTGTTGCAACAGGGCCAGTTCTATTTCTTTTATTGTCTGTCCTGGAGCTTGAACTCAGGGCCTGGGCACTGTCCCCGAGCTCTTTTGCTCAAGGCTAGTGTTCTACCACTTGAGCCCAGTGCCACTTCCAGTTTTCTGGTGGTTAATTGGAGATAAGAGTGTAATGGACTTTCTTGCCCCGGCTGGCTTTGTACTGTGATCCTCAGATCTCAACTCCCTGAGTAGCTAGGTTTACAGCCACAAGCGCCTGGCTCAGTTTTATTTCTAAAAAAGGAATAGTTAGTCATTGTTTTCTGTGAGCCATCATCCAAGCCCTGCCCCCTACAGTTACTTTGAAGGAATTGTACAGTCAGTGTCCCTAGTATGGAGTGCTGGCATTAATAATTCACAGTGATTTTACTTCAAACAATAAAAATGAAATGGAAATGAAAACAATACATCTTGTACACAGGAGAAGAGAAAAAATGTTGGCAATGCTAATTGTGAAACACTAACATCAGAGGCACACAAAAAGTTGAAAATATCTCAACAAACCTTCATGTGAAGCACTGTTAGGTATCTTCATAATATGTGATTGTAAATGTATGTGCAAATGTATATGAATTAATAAACTCTGTAGGTAGCTGCCTAAAGGTTTTAAGCATGCCTAAAGGACCGTGACGTTTTTCTCTTGCCAAGACATGCTTTTGAGATGCTGCCTGGCAAAACAAGAATCAGTTTATCTTCAGCACTACAGAGTTTATTCAGGCTCTTAATCATATACTTTAATTTTCTTTTGATTTATTTTTACTGCCAGGGGAAGATTTTCACTGAAGTAGAGAGATAAGGAATGAAGGAACAAGTTGATATCACTTGTATTTTTAGGAGTAGAAGCATCAGCAATGTTGATAATCACCGTGTATCTTCAAAGCTCAAAGGGTTTGGGAGATCCTGTGAAGAGGAGGGCCATCTCAATGCTTAGTAGACAAGACATGCAGCCTAAGGTGGAAAATGATGACAAGGATTGGATATCGCAAGATTAATGACATTTAAGCTTATTTTCATCTCTCACTTTGTTTTTGTTTTGTTGATTATGAGGCTTGAACTCAGGGCCTGGGCACTGTCCCTGGGCCTCTTTGTGCGCAAGGCTAGTGCTCTACTACTTGAGCCACAGCACCACTTCCGGTTTTTGCATTTTTTATTGGGGATAAGAGTTTCACAAGGACATGTCTGCCCAGCCTGGCTTCAAGCTGCAATCCTCAGATCTCAGCCTCCTGAGTAACTAGGGTCACAGGCATGAGCCACAGGCACCCGGCATCTCTCAGTTTTAAAGAGAAGTCAGTCATTGCTGATGTTGTTCATTGCTTGTCATTGAGCACTCAGCAGCTTCCATGAAGCACCATCTCCTTCCTGGGCCTCAGCCCCTCCATGGCCAAAAGACAGCTTGGAGCTCATCCTTCTCTAGTCATGCATTAGCCTTCCCTACTTTCTTCTATCTTAAGTTTGGTGTAAGATGCTAGATTTCACCTGCTGTTGCCCACCCAGCTCCACAGAGGGCACAACATGTATTTTATACTTCTTAAATGTTCATTAAAACGTTCTTAATTTTAACATAAGATAATCATGTTTCTGGCATCAGAAGATAACAAGAACAACAGAAAAAAAAATACTCTACTTTTTGTATGTATAAATGTATCAGTCCTGGGGCTTGAACTCAGGGCCTGGGCACTGTCCCTGAGCTTCTTTCACCCAAGGCCAACACTCTACTACTCGAGCCACAGATCCATTTCTAGCTTTTTGTTGTTAGTTTATTGGAGATAAGAGTCTCACAGACTTTCCTGCCCAAGATGGCTGTGATCCTCAGATATTAGCCTCCTGAGTAGCTAGGATTATAGGCATGAACCACCAGTATCCAGCTAAAATTGATTTTGTTTTTAGAGAATTGATTCTTTGCGGATTCACTCATGTTAAATAGCAAATGAGAACTAAAGTCATTGGATATCACTGGCTAAAATGGTGTCTATTATTGTGAGAGAAATGAAAACAAAGAAATTTACTTTGGGGCCATCTGTTGTTACCCCATACCACACTGCTTGTCTTGAAATGTGGATCTTGAAATGTGGACCTGGGCACAGTGGTTTTTAATTCTTCAGTGTAGACACTTTTTTTTCTTTTTTCTCTCTTTTTTTTTTTTTGCCAGTCCTGGGCTTGAACTCAGGGCCTGGGCACTGTCCCTGAGCTTCTCTGTGCTCAAGTAGCACTCTACCACTTGAGCCACAGCCTCACTTCTAGCTTTTACTGAGAGTTTATTGGAGATAAGAGTTTCAAGGACATCACTGCCCATGGCTGGCTTTGAGTGCCCTCCTCAGATCTTAACTCTTCTGAGTAGCTAGGATTAGGGGCATGAGCCACTGGCGCCTGGTGTTGTAGACATTCTTAAATTATGGACGCACCTCACATTCTTTGAGTACATATAGTCTTCTGTTCAGGAGGCTTAGAATTTCTTTCTTTAATTTTAGAGGTATGTTTCACAGACAAATTATAAAGCACTTTGATTTTTCTTCAAAATCATAGAATAGAGTCAAACAACATTGGCTTACACCTGTGATCTAAAATCTAGCAGATCAAGATACAAGGCCAAGCCCAGGCATAAATGACCATGAAAGTATTCTAAAATAGACTGAGGAAACATGGATTAAGTAGTAGAGTACCACCCAAGCAAGCAAGCCAAGCAAGTGCCAGATCCTGAGCTGAAACCCTGATTTTAGCAAAAATAAAACAAAATGGAGCCAGGCACTGGTGGATCATGCATATAATCCTAGCTACCTAGGAGGCTCAGAATGGGAGGGTCAAAGTTCAAAGCAGAAATGTGTGAGACCCCTTTTCAATGGAGAGCAGGTAGATTGGTACAAGCCTGTTACCCTAGCTACAATGAGAAGCCTAATATAGATAAATAGTGAGACCCTACCTCAAAAACAAGTGCAGACTGGTGATGTGGCTCAGCAATAAAGCACTTTCCTAGCAAATGTCAGGCCCTGGGTTTAAACCCTCGTATTGCTGAAAAATATAAATAAATAAATAAATATAAACACTAAATGGTAGTCTTGTTGGAAAGCATGTTTACTGATGATATCGTGCATATAAAGATTTGACAATATTACATAGCTGTGTGGATTGTATACTGGGAATATGAAACTGTGTCCAGCTATTAAACTTCAATATTCCAGTTGAATCCAGTTCCAATATTTGTGATGAGTTTGAGATGTTAGCTGATCTTAGTCATAGCTAGAGCCCATGATGAAAGTAGTTTTGTGTCTCAGAAACTGCAGTTGTCTTCTACAAATAAAATGCACTTCACCAGTTAGCGTGGGCAAGCCAGAAACCACTGGGTTGATACAGCCACTCCCCTTCTTCTCACGATTCTTCTATTCTTTGATCTTTGAAGAACAGAATACTAGCTGCTGGTTGTTTTCTAAATAAAGTGAATTCCTCCTTTCCCAGCTGTGTTCCCTGTTCAAATGTCTGGCAGGTTCCACCTGAATTGTATAGCATCTTTTCAAGGACCTTTGTCCTTGTGAGTTAACCAGCTAACACATGCAATGGCCATTCTGTGATTAAAAATCCTAATGCTGTTTTATTGCCAGTCCTAACTCTGTCTTACCTGTGTGCTTGTGCATTTCAGGAAAAAAGTGCCACCTCTAATACAAGACTTAAAACTAATAAGGAAGTTCCGGGATTTGTCCATCAACCCAGAGCAAAGTAAGTCCTAGTTCTTGTTTTCTTTTAAAACTAAAAAATATGCTTTCAGAGTGAGTTCTGTGTGGCCTACAATGTAACCAAGATTTATAGTAAAGTTTTAGTAATTGAGGTAGTGTGGCCCTGCAAAGCATATTGAAGCCAATATTTTCAGGAAAATAAAAAGAAATACCTTTATCATGAGATGACATTGAAAGCAAATTTCTAGTAAGACATGAAAGATACCCAGATCTTAAGAAAATGAGTAATTAAGGTGGGTGCACTAAAACTAAGAACTTTTATTTATCAAAATTACTATAAAAGAGTAAAAGTTCACAAAAGAGAATAAGATCATGTAAATAGTTGTCATTGCCTTCTAAGGATGTAGAAAGTAATTCTACAAATGAGCAGGCAAAAGACAAAGAGCCCATAAAAAAAATCTAACCATATGAACAATCATTTTACTAGAGATCTACAAATGGCAGATGTTTATGAAAAGCAATGCCATTCTATACCACCAGACTCGATACATTTGATATAAAGTTTACCAGGATGTGGAATAGTACCTTTAACCCCTGCTGGTAGGAATACATATATACTGGTACAATTTCTTTGGAAATCAATTTGCATTATCTAGTAAAATTGAATCTAGGTGCACTTTACCCTCTAGCAACTGAACTCCCAATTATATATCCTTGGGAAACTCCTGTAATGCTCGTACAGCTGACATGTTTTGATATATCCATAGCAGCATTGTTTGCATGAGCTATGAAGGTAAAGGCTCAACAAAAAAAGAAAAGAAATGATTGCTTTATTTATAGTAGCTCACACCTCTACTTCTAGCTACTTAAAAGTCTGTGATCTAGGGAATCAGAGTTTAAGGTCAATCTAGACAGAAAAGTCTAAATGATTCCATCTCCAAGTAACCAGCAAAAAAAGCTGAGCTGGAACAGTGGTTCAAGTGGTACAGTACGTATGACTGCTAAGCAAACATGGCTGTTTTCATGTTGCCACTATTACCTCTGTGGAAGTTAGTGACAACTGTAGACTGTTACAGTAGGAGGGACTCAGAGACCAGCTCACTTTCTAGGTGAGGAGGCAAAGGTGCTGTACCTCACCTGTGCTAGAAAACTGTGCTACTACTGCCAAGCATCTGAATTGTAAGAATTGAATAACACTGCACTTTATTAACAAATATTTCTTATTTTACCATATGTACAAGGTATTTCTTATTTTTACCATATGTACATATATGTTATATGTACATAAGACATATGTTATATGTCTTATTTTACCATATGTACATATATGTTTAGAATTTGAGCCAGAAAATGTCCACTTGAACCAACTCCTAGATATGACATTGTTATGAAGACTTTGCACACTTCTCAGAAACCCTATATATACATATGGTTATCTCATTATCTTATCTTAAGATATATATCTACCTCTTAATGCCTTTTCTATCTGGGGCCTATAGCGGTCCAGAAACCTTCTCTGTTAAAGAGTTTGGCCCAAAACCAAAAGGAACAAAAGTGTCATAAATGTCAATTGTGTACTGCACCCTCAGGAATGTCACCAGTTCCTTCAGCACCATATTCATTACTTTTTGCAGTGACAAAACCAAACAAGTTGAAAGAGGAAGGACTGATCTTGCCCAGTTTCAGAGTGCTTAGCCAGGCCCCATGTGCTTGCACAACTCCTCATTGTGTCAGGAGCATGTGGAGGAGAGGCTGCTCACCTCACAGTGGACAGGAAGCAGAGAGACTAGAAGGAACTGGGGACCCAGTACAACTTTCAAAGGCATGCTCCCTGTGACCAACTTCCTCTATCTAGGTCCTACCTCATAAAGGTTCCTGAACCTCCCAAAATAGCACAACCAGCTAAAAATTCAGAGATCAACATATGAGCCCATGGGAAACGCTCCAAATTCAAGCCGTGACAGAGTCTGTTTACATTAACTTAACAGCTGCCAAACCTGGCTTTGCTCTTTTCAAGCCTAGGGTAGAAGCAGCAGCTGGGGAAAAAAAAAAAAAACAGAAGGAAGACTGATATTACTCTAACAAGAAGAGATGAGAGCAGGATCTTTAAAGCAAACCCCACAAGGGTTTCAGGCCATTTTGCTCATAGCCAGCCAACTCCATTCATACAGTTGGTTCTGGGTATCAGGGAAAGAGCATTACGAGTTAAGATCACAGGAATGGCCTCACTCCAAAATCAAAGTTAAGTGATATTTGTAGTATCTCTACTGAATATTCTACTTAGGAAGGTTTGCAGTTTTAAAAAACTTTTTGATATAACCAGATGCTATGATGCAAATCTGTAATCCTGCCTACTTGGAATATGGAAATTGAGGAACCACAGTTCAAGTCTGGCTTGCGCATAAAAGTTTGTGAGACTTGGGGCTGGGAAGGTGGCTCAGTGGTAGAGTGCTTGCCTTGCATGCGTGAGGCCCTGGATTCAATTCCTCAGTACCACATAAGCAGAAAAAGCTGGAAGTGGCGCTGTGGCTCAAGTGGTAGAGCACTAGCCTTGGGCTGAAGAGCTGAGGGACAGCGCCCAGGCCCCACGACTGAGTACAGGCCCCACAACTGACCAAGAAAAGTTTGTGAGACTCTACCTCAGCCAGTGCTGTGCGAGGTGGGGCACTTGTCATCCTGACTCCAGAGGCAGCACAGTGGTGAGTACAGTATGGCATGTCTGTCATCCCAATGACTCCAGGAAGCACAAGTAGAAGGTCCACACTCCAGGCTGACTGGGAGATAGAGTGAGATCTACCTTCAAAATAAATGTGAAAAGGAACTAGAGGCATGCCTAGCAAAGAGGAGCCTCTGAATTCAAACCACCAAAGAAAAAGTACTTAAGCAAGTACTTGCTTAAGAAGATAAAATCATGTGGAATCAAAGGAAAGTCAGTATATAATAAATGACTTTTTCCCAAAAAAAATTGTGTGTGTATGTGCACACATACACATGCACAGGCCATTCCTGAAGCTTGAACTCAGGGCCTGAAGTCAGCATTCAACCACTTAAGCCATAGCTCCACTTGTGGCTTTTCAGTTAATTGAAGATGAGTTTCACAGATTTTCCTGCCCAAGCTAGCTTTGAACTGTGATCCTCAGATCTCAGCCTACTGAGTAGCATGAGTCATTAGCACCTGCTTCTCCCTATATTCTAATCATCCAAAATTATGTTATTCCTTTCATAGAGAGGAAGTTTGCCAAACAGAACATTTTCCTTTTTTTTTCAGTGATCTAATGGATGGCAAAATTACAAATATGTGTGAAAGTGCTTTGTAAACTGTGAAATAATTAATGGTGTCAGGTATTTGCATTGTTTGCCTTTGCTATCAGAGTTGAAGTCATGTGCCTGCAGAGTTTGGATATTGGCTTTACACATAGGGAGAAACTGGAAGCCCCACTGTCAGCTCGGTTTTGTATCACTTGTGCCTCTCTTCTGTGTCGATAAATGCTGAAGAGGTACATCAGGTGAACTCTCCACAATTAGGTTTTGGTTGTCTATGTAGTTCTGGGGATTGAATTCAAGGCCTTACACTTGCTGTGCAAGCATTCTACCATTTGAACTACACTGTCCGTCAAGTCCTTTTTCTTTTAGTTTACTTTTCATACTAACTTCACCTTGGCCAGTATATTCTATCACCACCTTCTGAGTAGCTAGTAGTAGGCATGTATCACCACATTAGCCCAATACAACTAGTTTGAAAAGAAGAAGCTATTCAACAATTTACCCTCCATCCCACCCCAGACACCACAATCAATAGGTATTAACATAAACTGAAAGAATGCTAAATATGTCTGTCCCTCAGCATCTTCAACCTCCTTAGAATAACCACAACTATTTACTTGGTAGAAATAACTACTCTTAAGACCAAGTTACTACTGAGATCCGTATATACCACCCTCTCACCCTTCCCATCCATGACTCTTCTCTTATTACCTTGCTTTCTCACCTTTAGTCCCCACCAACCACCATCTAAGGCTGTTAGATTATACAGAACAAACAAAACACAGGGCAAGTGCTATGCAGACATGCTTTCTGACATCCCAGTGCAGTGAGATGCATTTGTTATCGCCCATGCAGGAGGCCATGGAACAATGTCAGATCTTCATTGTGTTCTGTGCTCATTGGTCTCCAGCCCACACATGTGGATAGAGACAGCTGTGTACCATGTTCATCTGTCAACATCTCTTATATATGTCCTTCAATATAACTGGGAAACAGTGGGGGGGTTGTTTGCTTTTGTTTTTTGTCAGTCATGGGGCTTGAACTCAGGGCCTGGGTGCTGCCCCTGAACTTTTTTCACTCATGGCGAAAACTCTACCACTTAGACCCACAGTATCACTTTCCATTTTCTGATGGTTAATTGGAGATAAGAGTCTCACAGACTTTACTGCCCAGGCTGGCTTCCAACCCCAAATCCTCAGATCTTAGCCTCCTGAGTAGGTAGGCTCATAGGCATGAGCCACCACCACCCAGCTTATGGATAGTTTGTTGTTTTTTTTTTGTATGGGTCTATGCAGAGTTGGAATGTGCTATGTGCCACTTGCTTTTATTTCTTCTTATAAATCTGTTCTTAAAAACATGTTTGGCACATACCTCCCAGTAATGGTACTACTATAAATAATATCCATACATTAAAAGGAAATAGTATTCCTTCACTCACAGGCACTGGTAGATTATTAGGAAATACATTTGCAAGATGATAGCAATGGCATTTGTTCTTAATGTAACATTAAAGTATTTCAGTGAACAACTCTACAAGTTTAAGGAGGCATCATTTTTCATTGGAAGGGCTGGGTTTGTTGAAATAAAGACTTAACTCTTTGTTTTCCAGCATGCACATTTCTGAGAGCCAACAAGAATTCTTCAGGATGCTGGATGAAAAAATTGAAAAGGTAAGACATCAAATGCATGGACCACATATTTCAAGGGAAATGTGCTAATTAATTTACAAAATAGGATAACAACATTCTATGTGTTATAAGCTTTTTGTAAAGGTGGAGAGTTAAAGCAATTAAGGGTGCTAGAGTATTATTCCAGTGGTACAGTGCTTATCTAGCAAGCTCTGAGTTCAAACCCTTGTACCTCCAGAAAAGAAAATATAGTATAATGTTGGATGTGCAATGGTGCCCCTGAGATGCTGAATTCCCCCTTCTTAATAAAGTGTATCAAAGTCAAACAGAGACTAGGAAACAGCCTTGGCCTAGGCAGCCAGTCCTTGTCACTATGGGTCATCTAGCACCTGATGCAATGTAGACTCAGACTCCTAGGATGCCCTTCTGCCTACAAAATTCTATGGAACACCTACTATAAACTTGACACTGAGCTGAGTTCTTCACTGACATCTTACACCTGCTGCAGTCAGTATCCTGCAGGATGATGGTGTGCTTCTCTCTAGCCCACACCTATTCAGTTGTCGCAGGTGATATGGATGGGCACCAGGGAATTTTATAGACCAGAAAACCTGCTGAAACATGCCTGAGTCATTTAAGCAGAGTCACATGTCAGTGTGGAAATGCATCTGTAGTTTTCAGCTCAGAATGCCCATATGCTAGTGAACTGAGCAGCATATGGAAAACAGCAGTCAATAAGGGCTGACACCCTTGCAGAATTTAAATTCATCATTACAGAGAAATGACTTGTAAATGTTAATGTTACAAATCTTAGCATTGTCTTTTATGAACTTTATTGTAGAGATGAGTAAAATTCTGCATTCAGAATACCAGAACACCATGGTTATCATAAGCAGATTCACAATGTATATGCAATGTTTTTACAATGCAATATATATATATATAGTCACTTAGTTGAAGATAATAAAGGGGTCTTAAGTTCCTCAATAGAGTAGCCCCACTTTGAAGGGAACCCCTAAAAGAATATTGCATAATTTTCTGCCTCCATTACAGGATGAGCATATTGCAGCAGTATGTAAGATGCAAGAGATAATGAATTCCAATGGTAGTTTACTCTGCAGCAGTCCCTGGCTATGTATATTTAAAAGTGTAACCTTTTTTTAAGTTTTTCATTGAAATTCTGGCTTATGCATGACTTTTTAGATTGAAAACTTCATCTAGGAGCAGTTACTAAGTATCACATATTGGTCCAAAAGCTGTTCAGCTTGCTGATAACACTTTGTTTTAGTAAAGAGAAACATAAAGAGAAATATTTTGTTCCCACTGTAATGATAAAGATCTTTCCTCTTTCTGTTTGTTTGGGTTTTTCCCTTTTTGGTAATAAAAAGATCTGCTTAGTAGTTAAAGGAAAAATTGAAACCTGGATGCTGTCTTTTTAAACAACATGTGCAAACCCTGACAAGACATTGAAGATGATTGAATCTCACTTCAACATGGCTGTATAATTAAAATTCTCCCTCCTTCCCTTTAAAACTGAAGTTCATTACTACCACCTGAAATCTGATTTTCCTTTTTCCTTTTGCTTCCAGAATACAGGGTATGATGTGTTTAGCATGACGAAAACAAAGTTAATAACATCATATGCTAGAAACGTCCCTAATCCAAGAGGCACATGGAGGCCAACAAAAATAGTAGTCTCACTATTGATTACATATATGTGTGTATACCCATGTGTGTGTTTATGTGTGCTGGGGATCAAACCTAGGACTGCAGTAGGCAATCACTCTACCACCAAGCTATTTTTAAATTTATTTATATTTAGAGAAAAGCTGCTATTTCATTTGGCATGTACCTAGTTGATTTCTTTTTTTTTTTAATTGTGAACATACTGTACAGAGGGGTTACAATTACATGGGCAAGATATTGAGTACATTCCCTATCAAGCATTGTAGTCTCCTCCTTTGTTTACCCTTCACATCCCTTCCCAGCCTCCCCCCCCCCCACCCAATCCCCCCACCACCACCACCAAAGTTGTAAAGCTCGTTTTCGACATGACAACTTGTACTTCTCATTGCTGCAACGGGTCCACCTGTATCCTTATTTAAACGACTTGTTTTTCCCCTTCCCCTCCACAAATTATACTGACATCAAATACAGTGAAAGCAGGGGTTATACTGTGGAGGAGGGACATACAAAGCAACAAAGAAGTAATCTTATAAATGTGTTAGAAACAAATGCATGAAAGAAAAAAACATTTAAAAACATATCTTAGGGTTCATTTTCCTAACATCACCTTATCTGACCTTTTCTGCTTGACTCATACATATACTAGATATTGCAAATAAGGGAAACCATGGGACCTATGTTTCTTTGGGCTTGCCTTACTTCACTTAATATAATTTTTTCCAAGTCTTTACATTTCCAAACAAATGTGGCAATGTCATTCTTTCTGATGGAGGCATAGAATTCCCTTGTGTATATATACCACATTTTCTTGATTCATTCATCTATTGAGGGGCATCTGGGTTGGTTCCATATCTTAGCTATAGTAAATAATGCTGCAATAAACATAGTTGTGCTGGTAGCTTTAGTGTGGTCTTGTTTGTAAACATTTGGGTAAATGCCCAAAAGTGGGATTGCTGGGTCATAGGGGAGCTCTATGTGGAGTCTTTTCAGGAACCTCCATACTACTTTCCAAAGTGGTTGAACAACTTTACACTCCCACCAACAATGAAGTAAGGTTCCCTTCTGTCCACATCTCCTCCAGCATCTGTTATTATTAGAGTTCTTGATTTTTACCATTCTAACTGGGGTGAGGTGGTATCTCAATGTTGTTTTGATTTGCATTTCTTTTATGGCTAGGGAGGTTGAGCATTTCTTCATGTGTCTATTGGCCATCCTTCTTTCTTCTTCAGAGAAGTTTCTCTTTAAGTCTTTAGCCCACTTATTTATTGGGCAGTTGTTTCTTTGAGGATTTGTTGTTGGGGGATTTAATTTTTTGAGTTCCAAGTATATTTTAGATATGAGACCCTTATCCATTGTATGGCTAGTGAAGATCTTCTCCCAATCCGTAGGCTTTCTATTGATCTTGCTAGCTATGTCCTTTGCCATGCAGAAGCTCTGCAGCTTCATGCAATCCCATTTGTCCAACCTTTCTTTAATTTGTTGTGTTTCTGGGTCTCTATTAAGAAAATTTCAGCCTGCGCCAAGGAGACCTAGGGTTTCTCCTATTCCATCCTGTAATGTTTTCAGAGTACCTGCTTTGACTCCAAGGTCTTTGATCCATTTGGAGTTGATTCTGGTGCAGGGTGATATATAAGGATCTAGCTTTAGTTTTCTACAAGTAGTTAACCAATTTTGCCAACACCATTTACTGAAGAGGCTGTCTTTCTTCCATTCTATTATTTTAGCTCCCTTATCGAAGATTAGATGGCTATATGTCTGTATGTTAATTTCTGGGTTTTCAATTCTATTCCATTGGTCCTGAGGTCTGTTCTTATGCCAGTACCAAGCTGGTTTGATTACAATGGCTTTATAGTACAGTTTGAAATTTGGTATTGATATTCCTCCAGCAGCGTTCTTTCCATTGAGGAGCGTTTTTGCTATTCGGGGTCTTTTATTGTTCCGTATGAATTTTTGGATTGCCTCTTCTATTTCCTTGAAGAATGAGGTTGGAATTTTGATAGGTATCGCATTGAATTTGAAGATAGCCTTGGGAAGTATTGCCATTTTCACGATGTTAATCTTTCCAATCCAGGAGCATGGGAGTTTTTGCCATTTTCTAAGTTCTGTTTTGATTTCCGTTTTCAAGTTTTTAAAGTTTTCATCATAGAGGTCCTTCGCTTCTTTGGTTAAGTTAATTTCTAGGTATTTTATTTTTTGTGGGGCTATTACAAATGGAGTTGCTTTCCTAATTTCAGCCACACTTTTCTCATTGTTGGCATACAGAAAAGCCATTGATTTTGGGGGGTTAATTTTATACCCTGCTACTTTGCCAAAGTTTTGAATCAGCTTGAGTAATTTGGGAGTGGAGTCTATGGGATTCTTTAAATACAAGATCATGTCATCTGCAAAGAGGGAGAGTTTTATTTCTTCTTTCCGTATTTGGATCCCCTTTATGTTTGCATCTTGTCTTATTGCTGTAGCTAGGCATTCTAGTACTACATTGAAGAGCAGTGGGGACATCCTTGTCTTGTTCCTGAGTTAAGAGGGAATGGCTTTAGTTTTTCACCATTAAGTATAATGCTGGCTGTAGGTTTGTCATATACAGCCTTTATTGTATTGAGGAATGTTCCATGGATTCCTTACCTAGTTGATTTCTATGGAGAACTTTCTATGCTCTGAGCTGTGATTTTTCTGTTTCTCTCCTCCTTCCTAAAGTTTATCTTTTTGAGTATGTTCTTCTACTTATCATTTGAATATTAAGCTCCCAAAAATTAAAACACTCTTTCCTGGTGTGTGTGTGTGTGTGTGTGTGTGTGTGTGTGTGTGTGTGTGTGTGTGTGTGTGTGTGTGTGTGTGTGTGTGTGTGTGTGTGTGTGTGTGTGTGTGTGTGTCTAGTTTAATGTAATCTTTACCATTGTTTATATAGTGGAAATTGAAACTTAAATTCTTCCAGGTTGTTTTTCTAGGTTTTACTGTTGCTGAATGTTTCTTTGTCCAATGCTTAGCAACCTTATAGCTCTGATACATTTTTAGAATTTCTTAGACTTTATTAAAAAAATGAAAGAAAGGAAGAAAGAAATGAAGATGATTAAACTCACCTAAAGGTTTACACTGAGAAAGTGAGTCATGCTGAGAGGTCTTGGGTTTTAAGATTTCATCTCTTCTGACAATATTCAGGAATTCCATTCTCCAGTCCTTAAATTGTTTTAAAAAAAAATAAAATAAAATCCGATTGATTGGAGATGGTAGCCTGCCCTTCCTTGAACAGTCCATTGTATCTATTGCATTTGTTAGTGTGGCTTGAAAATTGCCTTCCATATCTCCTCTCTGAATACCAAACAAAAATTTCTACACTGTTTCTCAGAATAAATGGAAGA